TACGGTTGCTAGGTCACCAACTCATGACTCTAAAAATCAGAGGGAAAGAGCCCTAATTTTTCTAGTATGAATTTTATTTCCAGGTAACCATTACATTGCTGATGTCAGATCAATCTTGGTTAAAAGCCAAGAAAGATGTTTACCTGCGTTTTAGTGACTATACAAAGGCATTCAACTGTGTGGATCATAACAAATTATGGATAACACTGAAAAGAATGGGAATTCCAGAATGCTTAATTGTGCTCTTGAAGAACCTGTATATACACCAAGAGGTAATCATTCAAACAAAACAAGGGGACACTGCATGGTTTAAAAATCAGGAAAGGTGTATGTCAGGGCTATATCCTTTCACCATACTTATTCAGTCTGTATGCTGAAACAATAACCCAAGAAGCTAGACTCTATGAAAAAGAGCATGGCATCAGTATTGGAGGAAGACTCACCTGCAGTGTGCAGATGACAGACCTTGCTTGCTGAAAAAGACTTGAAGCACTTACTGATGATGGTCAAAGACTATAGCCTTCAGTACAGAGTATACCTCAACATAAGAAATGGAAAATCCTCACAACTGGACCAATAAGCAACATAATGATAAATGGAGAGAATACTGAAGTTGTCAAAGATTTCATTTTACTTTGATCTACAATCAACACTCATGAAAGCTGTTGTTGTTGTTGTTATGTGCTGTCAAGTTGGACTCAACTCACAGCAACCCCCAGCAGTCAAGAAATCCAATGACACATTGCTTTGGGTAAATCTGCTGCAAAAGCTCTCTTTAAAGTGTAAAAGAGCAAAGTTGTCACTTTAAAGACCAAGGAGTGCCTGAGCCAAGCCATTGTATTTTCAACAGCCTCATATGCACGTGAGAGTTGGACAATGAATAAAGAAGACCAAAGAAGAATTGATGTATTTGAATTGTGGTGCTGGCAATGACTAATCAATGTACCATGGACTGCTGGAAGACAAAACAGATCTGTCTTGGAGGAAGTACAGCCAGAATGCTCCTTAGAAGAGAGAATGGCCAGACTTCGCCCCTTGTACTTTAGTCATGTTGTCAGAAGGGACCAGTCCCTGGAGAAGAATATCATGTTTGGTAAAGTAGAGGGTCAGCAAAAAGAGTGAAGACCCTCAATGAGATGGATTGACAAGTGGCTGCGATGATGGGCTCAAGCATGGCAACCATTATAGGATGGTGCAGGACCAGGCAGTGTTTTGCTCTGTTGTACTTGGGGTTGCTATGAGTCAGAACCAACTTAACAGCACTTAACAATAACAATAAATAGCCCTATTGCATGAGGAAAAGTTCTATTATAGGGAATAATTCCAACTATCAATCAAAAGGAAAGAATCTCATGCTTAATGAAGTATCTAGGGATTCCGGCAAAGATCATCAATAGATGCTAAAACCACGGATAGGACTTTACAGTGGCTGACTCTGACCAGGCTGACACATCTGAACACCTTAGTCAATTTTTGCATCACCAAAAGTGGGACAAGATATTATACATATCTGAATGTAACACATTTTGAAGTACACAGCATCACCTATGGAGTATTTTTTTCATAACAGTATATATTTATCCTGAATCTAATCATTCTAATTTTTAGTTTAGAGTAATTATAGGGGAAAGAAGAACAAAATAAATACTATCATGAGGCTACAATGAGACAAATTCGGAAAGTTTAAAGATTCTACAGGATAATCTTAGTAGCTTCTTTGAGAGGTCAATGACAAGTTGGGGTAAAAATGAGGGTGTTTGTTCTGGGTCAAAAGAGACTAGAACAACCAATTAAAACGTGCAGACTTTGTTTAGATATTGATTCAATAAATTACTTGTAAAAAGACTTTTTTAAAAAATATATGGGAAATGTGAATGCATATAAGGTATTAGATGATACCAGAAGGCTGCGGTTCAAACCCATCAGCCACTCCTCGGAAGGAAGGTTGGGCAATCCTACTTCCATAGTGATACTGCCTCGGAAACCCAAGGAGGGGTCGCTATGAGTCGGGGCTGACTCGACGGCAAACAACAACAACAACAACAAGAATTTATCATTAATTTTATTGGGGGTTGTTTTAAAAAATGGCATGGTAAGGATGTCTGACCTCCTCTAACTTCACAATGGGGAAGGAGAATCAAGATCAATAACCCAAAGCTGATTCCTATGAGGTAGAAGTCAGACATACCTCCTCTCTCCAACCTTTTTTTTTTTTTTTTTAATCAATTCTGACACCAACCATCCCTTTCACTCTACTTCTCTGCTGCAGTCAATAATTCACTGCAATGGCCACACAGAATTCTCAGGTATGGAGTTTATTAGGGAAGTAACAGGTTACAATTCAGGATCAGGAATGATTCAGGATACAGTTCTTTGGTCAGGACAGCTTCTTGGTCATGACCATAGGTAGGCCTCTCCCTGGCCCTCAGCCTCTTGGCCCCTCACACCTCTTGGGCCAGCCTGGCCTCTACCCTCTTGGGCAGGTAGAACAGAGCTGTTTAGGTGACACCAACAAGGGCCCAGTGGTGACACCAACAAGGGCCCAGATGCCTATTCCACCAGTAAGCCTGGCCCAAAGCTGCTCAACTCTTGCTCTCTGGTCCAGGAAGCACGCCACATCATCTCCTGCCAGTCTCCTGGTTCTGCTGCTGCTAGTTCTCTGCTGCACTTGCCACCACGTCTCGTCACCTTGTACTGTCTCCAGTGTTATAGATCTCTGTATCCTGGGTCTAGGAGATTCTCAGCACAGGGACTCAAGGTCCAAAGGACATGCTCCATTCCTGGCTCTTCTTTCTTGGTGGTAGTGGGGGTCCCCCCTTTGTGCTTCTGAAATAGCTCATTTTAAGCCTAGAGGGATGGCAAAACTGACCAATCCCCTTATTAGGATTCCATATACTTTATTGGCATGGCCCGACCCCACAAGGATGCCATACACCTTATTTGTATTATTAGCAGGCTATCCAGTTCCCATGGTGAACCAAACACCTTATTTGCATAGTCCTGCCCAATCTTTTGGTGGGAGTTACCAGACTATGGTTAGAAAGGCCATATAAAAGTGATCCATTATACCACAGGGATGATAAGGGAAATGTGTTAATATAAGAAAATGTCATTTTTTAAAGATGTATCCTGAAGAATATATATGACAAATGACATGCTAATCTGCAATGTGCTTAAAGATACTATTCTTTAGTGTGTGTTTGGAATTTTTCATATTAAAAAGTGTTTTTTTTTTTTTTTTTAATCCTAGCAATGCTCAAGGATATAATTATATAAGGCCATATTGGTTCCAAGGTGCACTGTAACAATGTAATCTGTGACGTAAAAGAACAAAAGGACATGTGTGTTGCCTAATTGACATGTTGAGAGGCAATTCTTTTGAAAAAGCCCTTCTAAGCTTCTTTAAATTTTGTTTGTTTACTTTTTTCCCCTCTCTAAACTACTTTTTCTTTTTAATTGTGACGAAATACATATAACAAAACATTTATCATTTCAACCATTTTTGTGTGTACAATTCAGTGACATTAATTACATTCACCATATGGTGCAACCATCACCATTATTCATTTCCAGATTCGTTCATCACCCAGAACAGAAACTCAGTGCCTCTGAAAGGATAACTCCCCATGGCCTCCCACCATCCGTGGTAAAACACAAACAAGCTTCGGTCTATGCACTCACCTATCCCAGACATTCTGTACAAGTGCAGTCATAGAGTATTTGTCCTTTTGTGTCTGACTTATTTCACTCAGCACATTTTTAAGGCCCATCCATGTCACAGTATGTATTAGAACCACTATATTTCTGGCTTACCAAGAGTAGATCAACTTAGGAAAACTGAGGCAGCACTATAGAAAACGTGAGGGTCTTCTAGGGGCACAGAGCCTCCCAGACCCATGCAAAAAGCGTTACAGTTTTCACATATGCTCCCTAGCCGGCTGTCACAGGGACCTGGGAAATGAGGGAAGTGGTCATGATCCACCCTGTTTCTAAGGGATGAAGGAACCCAGACTCCTCCCTAAAGGTTCCACGATCACATTTAAATGATGGTTCTGTTCACACTTTGCTTTAGTTTTTTTGTAAATACCTGTATCTTCAAAATGTATATGCTGATCCTATAAGTTTGAGAGGAGGTAAAGTCAGGTTTAAATTATATTTGAAATAACAGATCACACATGAATGTCATGAATTCTTTCCAATGACAGGAACCCCAGTGATAAACATTCAATACAAGAGTTTCTTGGGGGGATACAGCCGCAAGACCCACTCTGTTACAAATCTCCTATTGGCCTGGTTAGGTCAATTAACCTCTCTTGGTCTTGGTTCCTTCTGAAAATGGCAGGAGCAGCGGTTCCTCCTTGTCTCCTACCTGACCTCTGACGCAAAGGAAATAATGTAGGTGACAATATTCTTAGAACATAAAGGGATTACAGTTACTTTTTTAAAATATATTCTCCAAGTAGATGTTTTTCCCTAGTCGTAATCTCTTATTTCCCAATTCCACTTCTAGAATTGTTCTTAAGCCACTCGGGATACAGTTTGAATAAAAGACTCCAAGAGTAGGTTATATTTTCAATTAGATATTTCTCTTCTTATTTACTGGGCAACATGAAAAGAAAGATTTTCCTCTGAAAAAAATTTAACAGTGATAAAATCCAAATATTTTATTTCTGGCATATTCTTTAAGTCCTGGAGAGTTTAAGCATTTTATAGTTCTGTGCTAAAGCCCTGCTTACCTGAAACACAGTAAATAATTTGGCTTTAAACTCACAATGTCCATTTTAAATATTGTCAATGGTAGCCCAGGATGGGCTCTATTAAGGCAGAGCCTTTCATGGTACAGATAGCAAGGATTGGGGACTTGAACAGCAAAGCCTTCAAATTAATCTTCTGGGACTAGAACCAAAAAAGGCTTTGCCTGAAGTGGTCAATACAAAAGCTTCATCTGTACTTAGTGGCTCATGAAAATGCATTCAGAATGCGCTCTCTTGATCTCTTACCATGGCAGGTTAGAGGCTGCTAAGACAAACACGAGATCTTCGGAGCGAGCCAGCCCATCCATCTGCACCAGTAGCTCTGTCTTCATCCGAAGGCTCCCCTCATGTTCTCCCCTGCAAAGAGACAAGGAGATGCCATTCTCCCAAGTGGCACAGCCTCCTCTTTCATGGCCTACCCTGGAACTCCTAACAGTAACTGCAGGGGCTGTTCCCTTCTGACAGCTCATCCCCTCCCCTGCCTCATTCTGAGAAGCCGCTAGTACTAGAGTTAGAGTTAGAGAAAAGAAACAATTAGGCCTTGTTTTCACATAGAGAGTATTAGAAAAGAAGTGAATGGATAGAATGCTTGGATTTAATAGAAAGCCAAAGGTTGGTTGTGAAGTATAAAACAAGTGAAGTGTATGTGGTGCCACTGGGTCTACCGGCGACATTATTTACCCTTTTAAATAAAGGCATAATTCAGAATAATCCCCTTCATTTACACAGCATGCATTAAAGGACCTTCACATACACTATTTCATGTAGTGTAACTTATGGATCTAAGTTGCTCAGGAAGAACAATGAACCACTACAAGGAGTCTGTTCCATGCTCTCCTAATAAGAGGCAAGATAATGACATGGAAACCACCCTTTCCTTTCATTGGCAGACTGCAGTCAGCTTTCTGTGAAAATCCATGCTCCAAGCACTGCACCATCAAAACCAAAGACCTTGCCACCAAAACAGAGTTCACTGTAAGAACCTGAACTATCCAAAGTGGCTCTAAACACTCTCCACATTTCACAGACTCTCTTCCTCTCCACTTATGTAGAATAACTAGAAGTACAGAAATTGCTTTTCTTGGACAACATGACATTCAGCTTATCTCTGCATGTGCGTGGTGGCAACCCAAATAGGATGTTTTTTTTCAGTGGAACTAGGAACCATGCGCTTTACTCTGAATCATGGTGTTACACTGGTTAAAGCGTTCAGCAGCTAACCAGAACGTCAGATGTTAGAACCCGCCAGCTCACTCTGCAGGAACTGCTTCCATACAGATTTGTTGTTGGTGCTGTTAGGTGCCATCGAGTCATCTCCGGCTCATAGCGACCCTATGCGCAGCAGAACGAACACTGCCCAGTCTTGTGCCAGCTTCATGATCCTTGCTATACCTGAGCCCACCATTGCAGCTGTGTCTGTCCATCTCATTGAGATTTACAGCCTTGGAAACCTTATGGGGCAGTTCTACTCTGTCCTATAGAGCCACTATGAGTCAGAATCACCTTGATGGCAATGGTTTTATTTTTGGGTTGTTATTGTTTTATGCCCTTTACTAAAGGAGCCCTGGTGCTGCAATGGGTAACCATGCAGTTGCTAACCAACAGGTCCGTGGTTCAAACCCACCAGCCATCCATGGGAGAAAAGACCTGATGATCTGCACCCAAAAAGATCACAGCCTGGAAAACCCTATGGGGCAGTTCTACTCTGTCTAATAGGGTTGCTATGACTCAGAATTGACTCAACAGCACATAACAACAACAACATAGCCCTTACTACCTATGGGCCTGGTTTTGAGTGGCTGGGCGTTATTATGTGCTGTGGAGTCATACCCGACTCACAGTGACCCCTCCTTGGGTTTCTGAGGCAGTATCACTACAGAAGTAAATTGCCCAACCTTCCTTCCAAGGAGTGGCTGGGCAGCTGGATGTAATTCCCCATGATGAGATTGATAATCAGCTCCATGGTGGACTCTACTGTGAGAAGCTGAGTAGCTGCCTTGGGGATGTGTCTACTTCCGGTATATAAGAAGCAGCATTGAGAAAGGTCTCTGCAGCTTTTAGGCACACGTGGATCCTGCATTTGGTTGAGTCATCAGTGAGTGGCCTGCCATGTTGTCTGCTAATCTTTGGACTGTCTCTGGACTTGAACTAGTGGCCTGCCATGTTGTCTAATAATCTTGGGACTGTGCCATTTTACTTGACCACCTTGGGTTTGTCAGTCTCAGCAGCCAGCAGATGCCTGAGTTAAGAGATGCCTCCAGCTTCAGTGGGCCAGGAACAAGAGGCAGAGCTGGGGCCCAAGGTCGAGGGGCTTTCACCCAACACCTAGATCTGACACCTTGAACTTGGACTTCTAGCCTCCAAAACTGTAAGAGAATAAATCCCTGTTTGTTCAAGTCATCTACACCTGTGGTGTGTCTGTTAAAGTGGCACAAGAGAACCAAAACACTACCTAACTACATGTTCCTAAGAGATTTAGGATAGCATTTATCCATAATTATTACTCTTTTAACATCCTATGACCCAAGAAGTCTTCAGAACACCTGCCCTTATCCCCTGATCCTTTGATGGCTCTGGTTTGAGAGTTTAAGATCCAGACAAGGAAACTGGCATTCAGCACAAAACCTGGCAAACCATGGCCAATAGAGGGAGAGTTTCCAAACCAGCCCAATCAAGCCTCTGAGTTTAAAACCCAGGGGATGGAAACCCATCAGGTGCATGTCAGAACAAGTGCTGAGGCAGGTGAGGGATGCCTGTCTGTGCCGAGGGCACAGCCACAGCAATGGTGCAGAGTTCTCAGCTGGACGCTGCCTGGTCAGGCCCAGCACCAAGAGAGACAGGCATGGTGCTCTGCCTGGGGCTGGCCAGCTCCAGCAAAGCCACAGAACCTGTACCATTTCAATCAGTTGCATGAATCCCATATCACATGGGTGCATCTTAATGGTGGCTTTTCCCTTCAGGGAAAATGGTTCTCAATGAATAAGAGTTCATAAATTATATTCCAGTTATATTCCCAACAAACTAATTATTTGCTTTTATTATTACTAGTTCTGCCTTGATGATAGACCATTAGAAGCCATTAATAAATGCAGCTGTGTTGAGAGTACCCAGTGATCTGTTTTTCCAGCTGGGGTGCCAAGTTTGGTAAAGAGCTTCAAGGGAAAATTCCTCTGCTCAAGACAGGAAGCAGTTCTTTGAAAAAGAAAGACAAAACAACAAAACCCTCTGCCTTCGGGGAGCACAAACAAAAGGCTCATTCTAGTCTGAGAAGTGTTCTTTCCCGCCGGGGATGGGGACGTTAGCAGACACTTAATCTTTAGGATAATATATGTGGTGTATTTAAAATTGGACATGCTCAGCCACAACCTGATGTCACAGAGAACATGGTGGCTTCCCTGGCCTCACACCCCAGCAAGGACTACCTCACAGGAGTGAAATACAGACCCGGCCCTTTACAGTGGCTAAGCAGGCAAGCCCCACTCTCCACAGGCAGCTCTCTGGCTCCAGGGGAAGCAGTCGGAGGCGGCTATTTTGAGCCAATGGCACTGTTATGGCAGACTGGGACCTTGGGGCTGGGTGATCTTCAGGCCTGAAAACCACTCTGTGGGGAAGAGGGGAGGGAGGATGACATTTCCTCCGGTTATAAAAACTACTTAAATCAGCTATTCAGTTAACAGGATCTAATTTAAAGACCTTTCCATGTGTCTGCAGAAAATTTGTGGGCTTATTAATAGGCTCATTCTGCTGGTAAATGTCGATGGGCTTCCGACCATCAAACACACTTACAAGAGGGGAGAAATGATGACCAAAAAAAACCTGTCTGTTACCCAGGAGCCATGCCTCTCTGACTCATCACCGACTCCAGCTCGTCCAGGAAAATTGTGGAGGGGGCATGATAGCGGGCAAGTTCAAATAATACCTGGGTAGAGAAAAAGCAAGTTCATATACTTAAAGTCCTCAGATGCTCCCGGAGATTAAAAGCTTAGAATGAATGTAATATTAAGCATTTATGCTGCACTCTGTTATTTCACAATAACTTTATAATCATGACAATTATTCCTCCCTAGCACCACCCCATGGTGTTGGATGGGTCAATTATTTCCATTTATCACTATAGCCAGTGAGAGAGTAAGTGGTTGGTTCAAGGTTACTAATCTTAAATGGGAGAACCTAAGATAAAACCCATTCCCAAGCTTCGGGTGGTTAGTTAACCCTTGAGACATCCTGGCAATAACATATTCCATATGGACACAAATCCTCAGAATATGTAAAATCATTTGATGGTTTTCCCTTAACCTTTGGGGACAATGGGAGGGTTATTTTCAAAAGGAAGAATGACAGGGAAGGGATGGGGTTTCGATCGTGGGTGACAAGACTAAAAAAGAACTTTGCCCCCTCCTGCTCCCCAAGTTACTCCAGTCTCCACGCAACCCCAACGCTGCTGTTCCGTATACTCAGGTACTTGGAGCTAATTCCCTATTGAATAAGATGTTCCCTTTCAAAATACATATTAATAGAGCGAACAAGAACGGGAAGCAACTAGTAAGAGGACAGACATATAAAACAAAACGAAGAGCCCTAGAGGGAGATGTGGTAGTGATGGGAGGAGTGTAAAAACCTAAGCCTATTTTTTTAACCCTGAAATTGATCTCTTGGGCATCATATACAATTCTTCATTGGTTGATCTGAGAAAGCAGTAGAGATTTAGAAAAGAACAGAGGTTCTTTAATAGGCATAGGGGATTTATTCTCTGTTCCACTTAGCACTAGAGCAAAGCATCAAAGAACAAAAAGGAGAGGAAGGGCTCAGAAAAAGCCAGACTCTGGTTTTCACGAGCAGTAGCAGGCTAGCCCTGACAGGTCTCCCTGTCCCAGGGTAGGAACTTCCTCACCTTCACCATCACTTGCAGGTGTGGTGCATACTTGCTCATAGTTAAGCATTTTCCTTTCATAGAATCCTAGCTCATTAGCCCAAGAGTGTTGGCTCAGCCTGTCAACTAGGAGGCAGTGTCAATGCTGGGATACTCACCACAAATGCCCTTTAGGCACAATAACCAATTGCTGAGCAGTTGTTTCCAACTGATGGCAACCCCATGTAAGTTACAGAATTGTGCTCCATAGAGTTTTCAATAGCTACGTGGAGCAGTGCCTAAGGCATTTCACTGCTAACTAGAAGGTTAGCAGTTCAAACCCAGCAACCACTCTGCAGAAGACCAGGCAATCTCTACTTCCGTAAAGATTTACTGCCTCCGAAACCCAATGGGGTCACTATGAGTCAGAATCGATTCGATGGCAGTGAGTCTGGTTTGGTTTGGTTTTTATTTTTTGGAAGTGGATCACCAGGCCTTTCTCCCAAGGCACCCATGGATGTGCTTGAACCTCCAACCTTTTAGTTAGCAGTCGAGCATATTAACCATTTGGACCACCCAGGGACTCCTTTTAGGCATAAGAGAGACCACTTAATTAGAAGCACATTATTTTTCTTCTTTATCACAAAAAGAAAATCCTAAATACATCTGATGTTAGGGTGATTACATCAGCAGCAATCTTCTAATGAAAAATAGAATATTAGACCCTATATGTGTATAGTTTTTAAGGAGTTAAATGCAGAGAGACTAAGAAGCTCTACAAAGCCAAATATCAAGGAGAAACACATCTGAACCGCAGGTCTCCCTATTGCCTCAAAGTCAACTATCGACAGCAACAACATTGCCCATGTCACTGTTCTTTCCACTCCCAGAGAATATATAGAATCCTGGGTAAGTGCTTCTGGAAGCATTAGTCTAAAATTTTCAAAAGTACTTGGAGGAAGTTAAATCATACAACTTGGTGGGGGGAGGTTGTTGAAGGACGTAAGCATCAACAGGTGTGTGCATTTGCTAAAGAGACCACTCAACTATTCAATAGCGATCAGTCCCTAAGAGGCCTGAACATTAGGATGGGAGGGAGAAGCAAAACCCAAGGGTTCCCTATAAATAACTCTTTAATTGGAATAGAAAGAGAAACAAATGGTAGGAAAGCTTCTCTGATTTAGGGAAGGTCCTGAAGGGCTTTCTTTATCTGAAAGCTTCATAGTAGGAACTTGACAGCATGATCAAGATGTTCCTTCCAGGTGAGTGATTTTCATACAGTAATTCCAAGTGTCCAGAAAATAAGGAGAAAATACATTAATTTCTGAAAGGATATAAGATGACAACCTTCCACACAAATCACAATAAAAAGTTAAAAACCAAAAACAAAAACATGAAATCCTTCAAGGTTAGCAAAGGTGATCTATTTTCTTGTTGAACTATTAAAAAAAAAAAAAAATCCAAAATAAAAATGCATTCACAGAATAAAGAAATACAAATGTCTTCTAAATCTATAAAAAGATGTTCAAGTTCATTTAGAATTAAAAATATGCACATTCAAGTATGGAAATATTACTTTGCCCCATCAGATTGACAAAGATAAAACAAATATTTGCTGATACACTGTGTTGGCCATAGTATGGGGAAACAGATACACTCACACACTGTACATGGGAATGTAAAGTGGTATAATCCTGTTGGAAGGCAACTTGGTAATCAGCAGTGTTCATTCCCCTTGACCCAGCAGTTCTACTTCAAAGAATGTATCTGATACTAATACATGTCCAATGATATATGTATATCTAAAATTCATGCCTGTTTGTAATACAAGAAACTCGAAACAACATAAACATCCATTAAGAAAAGAACCAATTAAATACATTTTGGTACACTCGTGCAATAAAACATCATGTGGACATATTTAAAAAACATGTTCTTTCTATTTTTAATGGTGTAGAATAATATCCAAGTTTTATACGTACATGAAGAAAGCAACCAAAAACCAAACTCACTGCCATTGAGTCAAATCCGACTTATAGTGACCCCCACTGGGTTTCCAAAGCAGTAAATCTTTACGGAAGTAGATTGCCCCATCTTCTTTCCACAGAGTGGTTGGTGGGTTTGAACCACCAACCTTCTGGTTAGCAGTCAAATGCCTTAGGTGTTGTGCCATCAGACCTCCTTTGAAGAAAGGAAAAAGTCAATAAAAAGACAGAAGGAAGAAAAGACCAAAATGGATGTCAGAAAAGACTGAAACTTGCTCTTGAACATAGAGTAGCTAAAGTGAATGGAAGAAATGACAACATAAAAGAGTCAAACAGAATATTTCAAGAGCAGCTCAAGAAGACAAAGTCAATTATCATAATGGAATGTGCAAAGACCTAGAGTTAGAAAACCAAAAAGGAAGAACAGTTTCAGCATTTCTCAAGCTAAAAGAACTGAAGAAAAAAAAATTCAAGCTTCAAGTTGCAATATTGAAGGATTCTATGGGCAAAATATTGAATGATGCAGGAAGCATCAAAAGAAGATAGAAGGAATTACTACACAAAAAAAGAATTGGTCAACGTTCAACTATTTCAAGAGGTGGCATATGAGCAAGAACCAATGTTATTGAAGGAAGAAGTTGAAGGTGCGCTGAAAGAAAGGACAAAAAACAAGGCTCCAGGAATTGATGGAATACCCATTGTGTTGTTTCAACAAACAGATGCAGCACTGGAGGAACTTACTTATCTATGCCAAGTA